GTGTTTAATAAAACTCCTTGGGTTCGGAACCAAGCCTGAAGAGTTTCACCGGAAAATAAACCTTTCATTTTTTGAATTTGATAATTCACAGGCGGATAGTAGGCCACCAAATGATGTCTATATAATTGTAGAAGCTCTTTAGCAGACGGACCGATGTCCCTAGGCTCCATGTAAGCATTATCTTCTGAAAAAGATGACATATCTTCTTGCTTGTGTCCAGTTAAAAGGCGAGACTTTTTTTGCCTCAAATTCGAGAGGGAGGTAGTGGAACCGGTTGATAAGTCATAAGAAAACTGAGATGTAGTCTGTTCATGTGGCCAGCCACAGCTAGCGCTTCCATAAGCTAGGAAGCCGTATGAGAAGGAAAGATCTGTTCCTCGGGCTACTTTCCCAGAACGTTGAGTTGACTCCGTCTGCTCAGGTGAGGGTGTTTTAGGTTGATTATGAGGACAATAAGAAACATGCTCAATGAGTTTTGATTTTCGCTGACCCCAATAGGCCACCTCGGGATCATACCGTAACACCAGTGGAACACAGGGAATAAGATCTAGCAAACTCATGCGCTCTATTTTAGGAGTAGTACTGCAAAAGATAGAATCTAGGTAAAATAAAATTGTTTTAAGATGAAAAAGCTATAGGTTTTATTTACTAACAGTAATTCTACAGTTTATATGGCCTCCGTCGAACACCTACCTGCGATATCCGAAGGCACTTTACCTGTTGATGGAACAAGCATTTGGATAGTGTTCGTCCGAAAGTGGTTACTTGAAAGGCATTTAAGTTCCAGTGCTTTGTTGTATTCCGTAAAATACTTAAATATACTGCATTTTGATAGACCCGCTTTTGCCGAGACAGATTTAATAACACTGGAAATTGCTTCTTCAGGCGATAAAAGTATAGGACCTTCCGAAGGCGGATCCAAAAGTTCAGCTATCTCCATTTTAACGTTATCTGACATGAAAGTAGCATGCAGTAAGCGTAAATAAATAGTGCTAATAGGAAGAGTTAAAAAGTAAGAATAGAAAAGATGCGTAAAGTAAAAAAAACGGACTAGGGAAGCTGAAAAATAAGTGAGTGAAAGAGATCCAAAATTCAAAGTAATAACGGAATGTTTCCTTTAAATTCGACTTTCAATATCTAATACAACTATTATCCTTGTTTCAGTAAGCAGTATATGAAATCAGATCATGCTTCCAAGGGGGAAATATGATACTGCTTAGATCACTACACAAAAAGCCACAATATAAGTGTGGCTTTTCAGGCTCGGTGAAATGGAGATAAGCAAGATATTTCTAGGATGCTTTAACTTCTTTTAAAGATAAACAAAATGCATGAAGGATACATGAAATCACGAGTTGATAGCACCTGAGCGAATTATTTTCTAATGGATGAATGATCGAACTAGGGTTTCTAGTTTTTGTACATAAGCCAAGCGAACAAACGAATAGTGTGAATCTTGCAGGCCTAACAGCTGAATTGGGAATTACCGGGAATACTATTTATGAAGGCATTGGAAGAAAGCCGGTTTGACTAGTTGCTACAAGATCCTATCGTGCTGATCGTAATTTTTACTGATAATGAGTGAGGACAACCAGTGGAATGCGCCTCAATTCACAGTAGTGATATTATAAGTGAATATCAGTTGCTTACTGTCGATCGAAGCAATTAAGGTTATTCATGTTCAATGGTGAGGGTAAAGTCTTTCCCTAATGTTGACTGAAGTTTGTGTAGCCACAAAATAATTAATTATTGGAGTACATTAAAATATATATAGAAAGTTAAGTGCTCAGGATAAGGCCTATTCATGCGTATTTTTATGTCAGTCACACCAAGCCACTTGTTCTTAGCTCTGTAAATACAGGCAAGGCAGATGCTCGGTCACAATGATGATCTTGAATTTTACAGTAATCCTTAACTTTATGCTTAATCGTTTTTTCGCACATGGCCTGTGTTGATATCATGTTTGTTGTAAAGGTAAGGCAGTATGAGCCCTTGGTTGTCAGAATCTTACCTCCAATTTATTCCCAAGACAAAGCTTCGAAATTCTTGGTTCACTCATTCAAAAACTGTGAGAATTCAGCAGAAATTGAGAAATATTCCTTTTCCGACAAAAACAGGAAAAAAGATAACGATGTTGGAACCTTTCCTCGGCGATGGTAAGTCGGTTAAAACCCCATGTATTCTATGTTATGATGTTCAATTAAAATGTAATCAATACAGAAAGTAATATGATAGAGTAGAGACTAAAGATGCTAGAGCCCAGTTCCCCCAGATTGTTTAAAGGGATTTAAAGACTAAGAGTTCAGTTTTCCAAAAATTAGATGAATAGGCCTTACAATGGCATTAGATTTCACCGAGATTTGCTTCCGAAAGGGTATTTTCTTCCAGGCTGAATTGGACTGCAATTTTGATCTCGCTTGGGTCTCATCAGCATTCCCGGCTAGAGGTGGTGATTAAACCTGGGCTAGGTTGAAACTGCGGTTCAGCCTGGTTTACACAGCATTTTGGGAAGCAATGCTAAGTAAAATTCAATGGCATCAGGAGGTTTACACATCTCATTGTTGAAAAAATCTACCGATAGTCTTTAAATCATTCCAAGGGAGCTAAGATAACTAAGCTCAGATTGAGGAATTATCTCCTAAACAAGTATTCTAAATGTGGAAAACTCTGGAGGAATCAATAAGATGTAAGAGGTTGTTTGACCTTGTCATATTGGTAGGAAGACTTAGAGGAACGCATCTAGTCC